ACACCACATAACATGATGTGGAAGCAGTAACAGACAAGAGTGTGCCCAACAGAGGCAATACAAAGCTGCTTAGATCTAAGCGTACTAAAATAAATAGCAATGCGCACCAGACTAGCCGATGCGATCATGCGTTTGGTGCAATTCGTCCACTGAAAGATTGCCTGTTAATGATTTTCATTGCTTTGTGCTTTAGTCTGTGCAAAAGTGGTTGAAACGTTGAAAAATAGTTAAAAATTTCACGCACCAGCGCATGAAATCTCACGCACCGACACTACCGCAAAACCGCAACCTCCTGGCTTTTATGGTTCCTGAGATAAAAATTCCCCTGCCAAAATTTTCACGGGTCAGTAGCTAATACCCGAGAGCGCGAGAACGCTGCATTTAAACTTGCTAGGTCGTACGTGGGTAGGATGTCATTGTCCCCTAGATTCAGCCTCATAAATTCCGTGGTCCCCAAAATAATGATTTGCCCGTCTAAATTTTCATGAAGCGGTAAGCGATACCTGAGAGTGCGGGAACACTGAATTTAAATTTGCAAGGTCGTGCGTGGACAGAGGATCATTACCCTGATTTTCAGCTTCGTAGATTGTGTGATTTCCGAGATAATAATTTACCCATCAAAATTTTCACAGGACCGTCCGTGATACCCGCGGGCAAGAGAAAGCTGAACTTCAATTTTCTAGGTCGCGTTGGGCGGGAGACATGCCCACAAAATTTCAGCCTTCTAGCTTCCGTGGTTCCCGTGATAATAATTTTTCCCGCCGAAGTTTTTCGAGTCCCTACGCGTTACCCACAGGTACGGGGAGGGGGAGAGGGCTGAACTTAAATTTGAGGGGTCACACGTGCGTGGAGAAAGTTACCCTAAATTTTCAGCTTCCTAGCTTTTGTTGTTCCCGAGTTGAAGGTTGCGGACAAATTGCTGCGAATACACACAGAGACAACCCCGTGACAATATGCGTTTTGTACTATTGTTGTACAGCACAAAACGCATAATAAAAAAGGCATTGTAATGAATTTTGCCGGCTAAGCTTAAACGGGGACCGATGTCAGCCTTGCCAACTGTAATTTCGTTGATAATGCTATCACTGGGGTTATCTCTGTGTGCCTTCGGCTCAAGCGCAGGTGTGGTTCTGAATTTTGACCTTAACTTTCTCAAAGATCCAAAGAAGATGAAATGCTGCATATAAAAACTGTGAGCAGAAATGATGTATTCTAAACAGCGAATTAGATCATGATGTTTCCCTAAAAGTGGTGGGCAACTTCTCTTTCCCATGCCTATATCAGTGCAGCTTGTTAATTACCATCAAGTTGCTCATTATCGAGTACCAATTTTTGTCCTTTTATAGCAAAGACAGTCGATCCGGTGAAAGCAATTGTTTCTTCGATAGTAGCAGTAGTAGTAGCAGTAGTGTCAGAAGCCATCGTTGATAATGCTAATGGTAAAGATATCGGTGCGGGTAATGAGTCAATGATTTTTTGTCGCGTTGAATCGATGTACTGGAGAAGTCCTTCATGTGCGGTCTCATGGAATAATCCAAATATTATCAGTACGGCAGCAATTTTGATTAAGCAACCAATGACGCAGTGTCCCAGTCGACGATCCAATTTATGCTTATATGTTTTGAAAGTCTAAAAAAATCATTCTTTAAAAAAACTTGGCCGCAGTGCTGTGAAGTTGTTTAGCATGTCAACTTCTCATAATCAGCAAAAAAAAGGAAGATACAAAGGTAGAAGTGTGGTCTAAAAAAATTTTTCAGAGCTTGAAAAAGTCATAAAATTTTCCAAATTCAGAAACTAACTGGTCCCGTGCCGTAAACTTTTTGGATTCCGCCTCCGCGTAACGTGCCGTTTCCTCGATGATAAGCACGAACAGAACGTGGTGTTGACGATGGCGAAGATTTCTCCGAAAAATCCATAGTAACCTAAACAATTTTTCTCAGCAACAATGAGTTCAAATTCGGCGAACGGAAAAGGTTTGTCACACGGCCTGTAAATGTCATACATTTTACCGATAATTTGTGTTCACTAATACAATTTGACTTTGCGGGTATACTTTGATAATTTGATCAGTTGCAGTTCACAGAATCTTTCTCCAATTGTGCAGCTGACAATTTTTTCAATCGTTTTGTTCACTGTAATGTAGCGCCAATGTGAGTGGGGATTTTTGGAGAACCTGGCTGTTCCGTCAGTAGCGAGAGGTAGGACGTTGAAAAAAACAACCCTTCTCAAGAATCAAATTAAATTTACTTTTGCTGTACTAATCCACAAACATATTGCCGAAAATGTTCATCCGGATTTTAGTTTGAAATGCCAGCTTAAAATGATGTAATCGTTACAACAGTTATTTCATAACACAGATTATATGAGATTCCCCATTTGTCTCCAGCAGCCCAGCCTCCTCTATCCTCTTAAACCGGCAATTTCCAATTTGTGCATGTCTCAAACCAAAATAAAAAAAAAGGTGAAAAACTCCGCGGCATTACATTTGATTCCCATTTTGTGTGCAATCACGCAAAAAAATTACAGGGAACGAGGCGAAGAACTAGTTTCACACACAACACATCAATACTTTAATAATATTTAATTTCATTATAAGACAATCTGGAATAAATACCACTTGCCATTTCATGAAGGAAAGTGAGGTAATTGCAGAACTGTGTAGTGCAAAAATGCTTTAGATTACTGGGCTTGGCAAGAATCTACAGTCCAAGCTTAAATGTCGAACTGAGTGTGGGCTTCCATAAAGATTGTTTGCCAGATAAAAATAAGATATGCATTAATCTAAGCATCTGGGAACTAAAAGCGCTAACCTCCGAATATTTCAATAAATAAACATATGTATGTATTTTGCACCAGTTTACTGAATGCAACAACATTTAGATGCGAAACGTGGTCACTAATGAAAGTTGAAGAGCGAACTTTGGCAGCGACAGAAAGAGGAATGGTGCGAACGAAGCTTGCGGGTCACTGTGCGACCATATAAACAATCAGACACATTGTCAGTTAGGCGGCGTGCAACATGTCACTGTCAGCAGCCGAGAAAGCAAAATTCAAACGGCAGACGTGTTCATGTTTTTACCGATAACCAATGAGCGTCGAACATTGGCGAGTGGTGTTCGCGAAAAAGTAAATAACTACTCATGCGACCCCCGAAGAGGCCGCGCACATATATCGGTACTGGTATTAACCGAAAACATGTAGTCTAGAACCAAAGGGCCTGGCATGCCTTTGCCCAATGTGTGGGAACATTCCAGTAACATCACTAACTTGGGATACTCATAATGGCTGCATGGATAGTCTCAGTATGAAGTAATGAGTTATGCGAATTTATATATTTGCAGCAATCAATTTTTTTTACGTATCACTGCACTTATTCAAATAAATATTTCGAAATTCATTAGCGGGCGCAGCGCACACATTCGTTAATGATTTGCTTTTGAAATGTTTTTGAATGAAAATCTATCGTGATCACTCTCTTATCTCATTAAACGGTTGTAAGTTCCATGTCTTCTTCAGATGAATTTTTACAGTATCATGCCTTTCTACATATAGTTTTGACATTCACTGTAATGCTGGTTTGACAAAAACGAATTGTGTAGTGCAAAGAATGACAAAATTTGCCTCTTAGGAGCTCCAGTGCAAATTCGTTGCAGTGCACGGAAATCAAATGGCTAAACATTCAAGTGGAAAGCAGCAGCGCAAAATTGACGGTGTGTAAGAAAAACTAGACAGTTTGGAAAAATCAAAGGAATTTACTTTGACACTTTGATCAACTCCAACCCATACTGTTGTTTTTGCACTCTAGATCTCATAAAATACTCCTGATGCTTTGACTCAATACTCCATGCCTAGTGGTCAGTCAGCCTTCTGGGGATTCTAAAGCTTCTGTAGTTTCTCTTCAGCAGCAGGAAAATTTCACCTAAAAAAACAACAGTATGAGCTGGGACTAATCAATGACCCGGTAAGGTTCCGGCCATTTTGCTGTTCGCTTAGATGCATGCATCAAAGCACCGAGAGAATGGGTCGTACACTGGTCTGGTGATTATCAAAATGCAAATCATCATAAAATTACAACATTGCGACAGCGATCAACCATGGTGACTCATTCGTGACATCGAGTGACCTTGCAAAAAATCCAACCATTGCTGTTCGCTACGACAAAATGCGATAAATGCCCTTTTTTTTAGAAAGGGCTGTAAGTCGGGACACGCTGTACAAAAGGCGTACTACTGGCCCATAATGCT